TTTAAGGTTATGAGAGCTTGTAGTATTTTTAAACTTTTCTTTGATTTATTGACGTGTGATTGATTACTATTGATATACAAAAAAGTCTAAAGAATGAAAATTTTAATAAAACAAAATTTTTCTTTTTTTTTTTTTCAGATTGACCAAAAATTGAATGTAATTTAATAATGGTAAGTCATGATATTTTAACAAAATTATAGTAATAACAGTTGTTTCATACCAATTGAACTAATGAATATCGTTAATTGATATTGGAGCTTCACATGAAATAGATAATTCCATATTTTTTGTTCGATAATAAAGCGATTAAGCAATTTTTTGTCTGTTTACTCGCTATTCGCGTTACTCCATCCGTTGCATAATTCAACGCCAGTTTTTGTACCTTTTATCATTTATAAATGGTTGCTTTTATTTTAAAATTTCTGTATTGAATCGAATGTCAAAACGTTGTGATTTTATTTTTTTTATTTTCAACCATGTGCGCATTTTATTTTATGAATTATAACATACATAAAAGGAATAAAATTAATTCTGATGAATAGAACGAGAGAGTTTAATATTCCCAGTAATTCAAAGATAAAACGAACAATTAAAAACATTAATTATTTTTTAAAAATGTGGGAGTTAGGCAGGGATTCTAACGTTTTGTCAAGTATCTATGAAAGAGAAAGCACAATAATTTTTGAAAAAATCAATTTTTTAACTCAATTTATATTTAAGTTTCCTCATATGTCTTTTTGGAACTTGTGGAATGAAAATTGCAGCTAAATATTATTCTATTTCATAATAATTAAATTATTTGGCTGGCAGTTGTAGAAATTTTTGTCCTTCGAGGAGCCACATATAAATATTTATTTCTAAATACAGTTTGAAGACAGTTAATACTATACTCAATTGTTCCATTGGCTAACCACAGGTAATACAGTCTTTAATTGGATCCTTTTTTGACACGCAAAAAAAATTAAATGAGCTTTGAAATTGAATTGTAAATGAAATTAACTTCTTGTAATTTATTTGTAATTTGTCTCCCGGGTCAAAAAATTTAGTCTGTTTTATGATTAATAAAATTTTTTAATATTTTTCATTCAATTTAATTTTATTATGTGTATCTATTTTATATGAAAATTTAATCTGTTTTTGCCCGTATTATTCACAATTCAGACCAATTTCAGATCATTTTTAATGTTATAATAAAATTGTTTTCTATTGTTTCAAGACCAAAATCAGACTTTTTTCGTCACAATCATTTAGCTGGTTTTGATCGCATCAAGGTCAAAAACAGACCAAAACGTTCTATAATTTTTAGTCGGTTTTTCATCGCCTGTAGATCAAAAACCGACCTTTTACGAATTTGATAATAATAATAATAATAATATATATTATTATTATTTTATTCATGTCCTCGAAGATCCTCTACAGAGCACGGCTTTTCATTCTCTGAAACTGAAATAGTGACAATTCACTATTTCGTAGTGCAATGTATACCAAAACGGTACTCTTCGCACTACCAAATAGTGAATACCGCTCATTAAATCATGCGTGAAAGTATAAAATTTAACATTAATCCTGTCAACATTTTAATTTTGTCTCGATGTATTCACATTGTGTTTAATAACGATAATTAGAAAACTATGGATTTAGATCCATAATTAAACGATGAGAACTATTTTATAAACGTATATTAATACAAATTTATTAGTTATCACTGCAACTAATATTCCCAGTTACAAAACTTTTATAATCCATGAAATATTAAGCTATGATAAATAAATATGACAGATATAAGGTTATAATCGACGTTCAGTTTATAAAACAAAAGAGCGCATGAATATATTATAAATTAATTCATTTTTTTAAATAAATGCGACTTATAATTTTCAATGAGATACTTTTAAGTCCAAAAAAATTATAAGTCACCATCTTAGGCGACTTTTGGCCTTCGAACATTTAGAGAGAAAATTGTAGATCAAAAACAGTATAAAATTTAGTTTAGTTTAGTTTAGTTTAGTTTATTTAAAAATTATGCCAAGGCAATTGCCAAATGGCAAAGAGTACATATACATACAGTTTTTACATTATTGTGCAGTTTAACTTATAAATATTTAGAATGTTTTATAAAATAATATTTTTAGATAAATGATAGTGACATATAATACTATATAAGTATAAAAAATTTTAATTTATAATGAATTAACTAACAAATTTTAATAATCATTTATGTTACTATAAATACAGGTATGAAACTTTAAATTATAAAGAAACTATATAATGAAGATTTACTAAAGCTTGAGGATTAATGAAACAAAAGATAGAAACATTAATAGTAGTTTGTAATCAAACATCTAGATTAAATAAATAATCAAAAATTTTGTTTTTGAAAACCTCCAAGCTTGAAGAATTTATAATATCCTCCGGTAATTCTTCCCATAATCGTATAACTGTTATTACAAAAGAAGACTCATATTGAGTGGTACTGAAATTTGGGAACTTAAAGAGGATATTATTTTTCTTGGCTGCTAGTCTCTCAGAGCGTCTTACACTGAGATCTTCCTGAAATAATTCACGCAAATAGCTAGGTTTACTAGTTTCTAATAATTTGTAAAAATAACAGCAAGTAAAATAAATTCGACGACTATTACGCTTCACGTAATAATTATCCGTAACTTCTATTCTTTCCCGCTTCACAGCATTATTTATATTTGTTAAAAATGTGGAACGCTTCACGATTTTGCGTTATATATAACAAGAAAATTTTCTCAAGAGTAGTACTTTTTTTTCTCAATGTCGCGTAATCGTGTTTTTAAAATTCATACATTTTGTTTATTAATGGTTCCAATTTTTTTAAATATTCCAATCTTTTGGACGACTCATGATGCGAAGCATCAGAGAGTCCTTTACGATTGAAAATTTTTTTTCGCCTCATTTCAGCAACTCTTTTTCTTATTTTATCCTTATAAGTTCACGAAATAGAGATATTTTGCATACTATTGTGAAGATAATTTAATAGAGATCAACTCCATACTTTTTAAAAATTGATTAAGTGTAATAGGAACGGAAAAAAACAGCAAAATAGTTTAAAAATTTTCCGCCCGTCAAGAATGAAACCTGTAAACACTATTACGTGCAAATAAACCCATCCATCGAGTCAAATTATTTTTTTTTTATTCTTTGAAGGAACTATAGGTTTCTTATTGCAAATGGCTATATAACTCGTTTCGTTTAATTGCAACTAATAAAATAAAAAAACCAAAATACTGTATATCTATATATATTATGTACATTTATCCCACGAGGGGCGCTTGCGCATTATCGACATTTTACAGTTGTTTTATATTTTTTCTTTACATTTTTTATTTTACTATTATTTCATAATCAAATGAGTCGTGCACTTTTGGATTTTCCAAAGTTTTCGTTAGTTTTAATTACATCGAATAAATTTTTGAAGATTAGAAAATTTATCTTGATTAAATTATCTGTTATACTGTTATATTATCTGGGATCTATTCGACATGAATTAATGGGTTTGTACAATGAATTTTGAATCTTAAATTTTTTTTCTGTAATAAACACGATCTTTAAGAATTGAATATTCTTTTAGAAACGTTTTATTGCATTCTCTATCACTTTAGAAACTTAACTAAGCTATGAAGTATTGAAAAAATTTCTTAAAGAAACGCGGAAAAAAGTATAATGATGAGAATCCGCGGTCTGGAGATCTGATAAAGGAAAAAGTTATAGTTTGAGTTAAAGTTAAAGTTAAGTAATATGAAGAAATAAAGTTGAGTTGTTTCCTTGATCGCAAAGGTATGGACAAAACTACCTACCTACCGAGTTTATTTTCTTTTCGTGACCTGAGATACTCATTCATATATAGATAAAGCCGTGGCAAAGAAAAAGCGAAGGATTTTAAGAGTTTTAAAAACAGTTCGCGAAGAGCTGCACCAGGTTTCAGATAGTCAAGAGTAAGCAGAGTTAACTAAAAGGGTAAAATAAAGTAAAAATATATATTAAAAAGGGCAGGAATTCCGACCAGACGAGACGAGAGGCAGTCTTTATTTTTAGTGAATAAATACACGAAAATAAGAGTGAAATTATTGTAGGCAAAGGTACATAGAAGTCGGCTTATTTATTTAACTTATCCATTTCAGCTTTGGTAGATTCTTAATGGTTTCAATCTTTAAAAGTTGGGTTAATTTTCATTTTTGAATAATTAAGAAAATTTAAATTTTCTTTGAGAATTCATCGACATTTTTTATTGCGCAAATTTTTACTTAATACAAAAAAAAAAAGATTCAATTTTTTAATTTTTATTACGAAAAATTTTGGAAAAATAAAAAAATTGGTCAGTGAAAATACAAGACCTTTTTCAAAGAAACGAAAAAATACGTTGAAAAAATTTTTTTGCAAAGAAATAAATTAACAAAAAAATTTCTCAACATCAAAATTCAATTAATCTTTAAAAATTTCAAACTATAACACTTAAAACTCACCGTAATTTAAAAAAAATTTTCCTTCTCGAAAATCGCCAGAGACACGGAATAAAAACTAAAATAATAATCCGAAATGTTTGTTTCAACAAATTTAATCCCCCGATTTACTATCGTCGGCGTGGTAACATTTTCTATTAATTGGATCCATAATTCATGTCGACTTCAGCACCGCTCGGTCGTGTTCTATAAATTAGAACGACAGTCTATTAAGTCGTACTTCCGGGATACCTACGGAAATTTCTCCGACACGAACTAATTTTCTATAAACTGCTCTCTTTTTTTTTCTTATACATTATCAAAAACAATTTAAATAAAACCACCACCTCTAATTAATTAGCACTTAACAAAAAAAAAAAACACATAATTTTTCATTTAAAAATCAGTCATTTATTACAATTTAAAAAAAATCAAAATTTATCAATAAAACCTTTTGCTATTAAGAGTTGTCGAAAAATTTACACAAGAATTATTAATAACCACAAAACTTTGTCAGCCAACGTGAATTGTCCTTCAATGATCATCATCCAATAAGTCCAGACGCGGGAAGTCTTCTCCGGTACAATTCCTATATCTCTCCAGCATTGGTCGGAGAACCCAAGGCTGATAATCGACTCTACTTATATAATGAAGCCAGTCTAGCGTCTTGAATAGAGGTCGACGAAAATGTGGACTGATTACTAACATCTCGTCGATCATTTCAAGGATCTCCTCATCATTAATTATAGTCCCTAGGCGTGGCAAGATGTTTCTCCTGCAGTTCAGAGGCAAAACGTTTCTGTCAAAAAACTCATAGTTTACCACATCCGGCCAATATGCGAAATGTATAGATCCACATAGCTCAAAAATCCGGACCAGTTGATCAATTCTGTTCCGGCCTTCCATGATCGGCCTCTTCCTCCACATTTCGGGAATAATGCACCCTAGTCGCCACGTGTCTGCTGGAACGTTGTAATTTCCTTTTCCAAGAAGTTCCTCAGGAGGAGCGTACTACATAGCAGTTGAAGGGAAGGTCCAATCTTGTTTCAGCGGGGTTGAATTCCGATAAGTCGCTAACCCAAAATCAAAAAGCTTGACCCCTTTAATATTTATCAAAATGTTAGATGGTCGAAGATCTGTGTGGAAGATTTTTTTTTCGTGTATATAATTCAGCCCCAATATCAACTGCCACACAGTAGTTTTTATTTCCGCACGCAGAAAAATTTTTTGTTAGAGCAACAAAAAATAAGTTGTGACAACAAATTGTTATGTTGATATAGGGATAACAAATAATATGTTGTGTTAACAAACACATAGGTTATAATAAGTAATCCATATGTTAACTCAACAAAATTATTTTGTTATTGTAACCGAATCTTTCAATTATTTAAAAAAAATAGTTTTGTTGAAGTAACAAATCGATTTGTTAAAGCAACGGAATAGCTTGTTCAAGTCACAAATTTTATTGATAAGAAAACTATTTTGTTATTGCAACAAAAAAATTTATTATAATAACAAAGCGATTTTGTTAAGACAACAAAATTAACTTCAGAGCAGTAAAAACTCATTTGTTATTGCAACTTAGTTGATCTTGTTAAATAAACTAGTTGATTTGTTATTGAAAGTAAATTCATTTGTTATCACAGCATATTTTTTTGTTATCCCTGTTTTTGTTGTCCTAACAAATAATTTTTATGTGTGCGTTACTTCAAACTGGAATTCCGGGTGAATAATCGATTGTGAAAGGCTGCACGGGCAGAATTCAATGATTGATAAAGCAGATGACGGATGGCGACTTAGAATTGTTGATTGTTCAGCAGAGTCACTGTAATCTAGAAGCTTGATGATGTTCCGATGGTTCAGTTTTTTCAGGATCTTCGCTTCTCTAATCACAACTAGCTTGTTTGATTCTTCAATATTGCTTTGTATGGATAGCTTCATAGCGAAGTATTTTTTTCTAATCCTGTCTTTGGCCATGTAAACTTCGGCGAAGGAGCCTTGTCCAATTTTATTCAATTTTAGATACTTATTAATTTCTTGACCTGCAGACATCTTGAAAGGAAACTTTGCACTGTTTTTGTGTGATTTTTAAGGAACAAGTAGTGGTTCACGAATGAGCACTGATTAATAGTCCAAACGTTTAGACACCGAGCTAATGAAAGAAAATACTAACTGTAGTAGGGAGAATTAGCCATCATTTCGTTAACATTATATTTCGGTTCAAAATAATCGGATTACACTCAAAGTTGGAATGCTAGAAATTCAATGGAAGAAAATTTTTTTTTTTTTTTTCAAATAGCTGACTTTTGATTTCCAACACACATTGAGTATTGAAGATCTAGTATTCGAAGAAAATTTCAAACAAACATGACTCATTGTGTTTTGCTAGAATCAATTATACTTTTCACGACCTTGGTGTTGATTGTAATAAGTGATGATTTAATTTATGGTATTGTGATTTGTTGACAATTCAAACAAAATTCGATTGATGAAATAGAATCAATAACTATTTTTACCGATTTTTAGTCTAAAGTAATTGTAATATTTGGTGTTGTATTTCTCATAACGTGAATGTTTTTGAAATCAATATTACATCCTTATGGCACTTAGAAGATAAGATGAGTAGACGTACATTATGAAAATACTCCAAATAATCAATTTTACATTTTATCAAAAATCATTTTATTTTGCTGCTTTGAAAAAATATTGATAAAAATTTATGTAAGGTGAAAGCCCTATTAGATGATCATATACTAGTATATGATCATTCCATGTATTTGTATATCTATATTTGTGAATATAGAATGTCAGAATGTCTGTTCCTATTTTCTGTTTGTAGGTAATCATAATAACTTCCGAAAAAATTAACGTATCGAGATCAGGTTTTTTTTATTAGCTTCAGAATTTCAGCAGCTGAGTTCGTATTACTGGAGACAGTTTAATTTGATGTCGTTTAATTGTAATTAACAAAAACTAAAATCGATTGGCCGTTAGTATCTTTTATCTTCTTAATGTAACTTGATGAAAGTAATCACTAATGAGTTTAAACATTGAAGCATTCATGTTCATGGCAATTTTGATATTTTAAATCATAAACTATTAAGAAAGCTTGAGAGCAGAAAAAAATTTATAAATTTCGTTTAGTTGAAATGATATAATTTATTAAATTCGACAGTTTAGTCATTTTAAAACTCATTAAAGTATTTATATAAACAATTTCTTCAAACAATAAACAGTTATCAATAAACTAACCTTGCCTTTATAAATTTCCATTCATGTTTTGCAAATAAAATATTTCATTTGAAATAACGGTAAAAACAATAAAAACAATGGCTCGAATGTAAAGAATTTTCCCCAACAAAATTTTTAGCCGATGGAAAATCACTGCACAAAAACATAAAATTTTTCCACCAAGTACTGTCGTGATTTTTTTATTCTCTCATTACTCTCAGGACCTTTTCGAACAATTCGACTCCGTCGCTTTTTATTCTTCTATCTAATTTTTTCTTTATTCATTTGTTTTTCTCTATTTTTTTTTTATTTCTTTTATTTTGTTCTGGCTCTGGCTCTTGAGGTCGACTTTGTTCGATTTACTCTGGCCTTGCCGTCTGTTTCTTTCAGTGGAGTTTTTATAGCTTTTTTCAACTTGGAATCGATGCATTCCTCAGTCTCGGAGGAAAAGAGGAAAAATAGACCCTCTTTCACTTGACCAGCCAATAGGATATCCTTCCGGCAAAACGGCTTTCTTTCCGTTAGAATTCAAACGACGTACTTGAAATAGATCTTATTATTGATTTCGTTCCTTTTTTATGTTTCCGCATCACATTTTCTTTTTTGGATTGGTCATAATAATTTGTATATTTTGTATCACTGAGTTAAACTGTTAAATTTTTAAAATTTTTAATACTCAATTTTTTATCCTCAAATTTATTTTCTTTGTTTTATTTGTCAAATTTGTATTCCAAATTAAGAAAATAATATTTCATAAAAAATAATCAATTTTTATATCAAATATTTTCTAAACTAATAGATATCAAATTTTTTCTAAACTTTATATCTTCATTAGACTTACGTGTACTTTATTATAACTCTTTTTGTATACTTTTTGCCATCTGGCTATACTGCCTTGGCATTGAAATGAAATAATAATAATAATAATAATAATTCGTATAAAGTTTCTTCTTTTGTCAAAATTTTGCTCTTTCTTTTATTCGCAACACTTAATTCAACAAATTTTCAATTTTTCATCAAACAATCTGCAGAATTTTGTATTACCACTTTGAAGACTCTTTAAATCCAAACTATATTTTTTTCCATTTTTCAAGCAAACGATAAGTTTTATCTCAAAAATAGATCAAACAAAAATTGTACATCACGCAATTGTCTACAAAAATTGTTTTTACACTTTTTTTTCTATGAATCACCGTTTCTGAATTATAGCGATTCTAAAAATGGAAGTTATTCAATAGTAACCTTTTGAACTACTAAAATCACAACTGCAAATTATCGCTTTTCGCAATTTTCCATTTTTTCAATCCCAAAAAGCAATGACAAAAGTGATCCATAATAATTTATCCTCTGACAGTACTTAACTGCTCCCTAATGATTACGAGCAATACTAAATCGATGTTTTTTAATAATAAAATTTTCAGTTCAATGATATTTCTCTGTTTTTTGATACAAGCTACAGACTGACAAATGGTTGTGCTTGCAACCAGGTGCGAAGAACCACGAGCCACGAGGGAAATCACAAAGCTTACAACTAAAACTATTACATTTCATAAGCTCTGTTGCCTTTTTTATTAAACATAATAAAATTTTCGCGGAAGATTAAACTACCGATCGTTTGAATGCTTCAAGAATAACAATTCCTCTTGCACATATCTCAGAAGGTTTTAGAGATACTTAGAAATAATTACTTCAATCACTGACAGTTTCAGAATTTCTTCGTCGAAAATTTTAGACTTTAGACAGATTTTAGGAAAAAAATTTAGTTGAAAAAATTTCGAACAACATGATAATCACAATATTTTTCATCTCAAATTCAAATATAAAGTTTGGAAAATCCAAAAGTGCACGACTCATAATGCTCATTTAATTATGAAATATAAAATAAAAAAAAAAAAAAAAAAAAAAAAAACTTAAGTCGTTCAAAATTAATTGCCGAAAAAACAGCTGTAGTAGGAAGGTACTGCACAAGCGCCCCTGGTGGAATAAATGTACATAATATCTATAGATATATCACCATCCATGTTAATTCTACATGGATATATATAGAATCTATATTATAGATATACAGTCTTGAAGTTTTCGTTTTTTATTAATTGTAATTAAACGACACTGAATTAATTAGCCATTCACATTCAGTGACCTACAATTGTCGATTAGAATTAAAAAAAAAAAATTTAACTCAAATAATTGATTTTTTCACAAGTTACAGTGTTTCCGGAGTTTCATACATGACGGACAGGAAAATTTTTTGACCTATTTTGATGTTTTTTTCCGTTTCTATTGCAGTAAATCAATTTTTAGAAAGTATGAAATTAATCTCCATTAAATTATCTCGACAATAGTATGCAAAATATCTTGATTCCGTGAACTAACAAGGCTATAATTTTTTTATAAATAATAATTTAACGGCAGTGAATTGAACGCTCATGTTAATTAAGAAAATCCGTTGTGTGTTACTTTAGATAATAAAAAAAAAATTGTTCCGCTACGATCATTTTTTCGACCAATTTCCCTGCCACATACACCCATTCATACACGGACGTCCAAAAAAGATTATGTTTAATGTTATTATTTATTATGTTAAACAAAAAAATTGTTATTGAAATATATTTTATGTGCCTGAAAAATTATTTGACTTGATATAAGTGTACTCTTATTAACCTGTAAGTGCGATATAAATAACAAAAAATCAATTTCAGTTTCGACAAAACTGCTTTTTTCGAAATGTCGAGAGTAGAGCACGACCTCAACGCTTCGCTTATGAGGCGTGCAATAGGGAAAAGTTATATGAAACCTTTTTTGTATGAAATTAAATTCTGAATTGACAAGATTCTTATCAATTTTGTACCTTTAACTCTTTAGACAAAATTCTAAGTCAAAGTTCGAATCTAACAACTGCAATTGAAAGTATAACTAAAAAGGTTCTTTTCAAGAAAATTAAAACTCAATATTTTTTACCACATATTGAAAATACGGAAAAATCATATGAGATCTTTTTTGTAGAAAGTATTCATAAAAATGTAACATATTGTTTTTACTTAGTTAAATAACGTGTTCTTACGTAAAACGTTAACATCAATATTTTGTATGTTAATTTGATACAACAAACTAAATAAAGAATAAGTGAATCACACAGAAAAAAAAGTCATCTTGAGTCAAGTAATATTTACTTGATCCAAGTATATTCAACTGAAGATAAAATATATTCTTGAGTTAAGTAAATTTTTTTCTTGTTTTGGTCAATCTTGGTTTAAGCAAATATTCCCTAGTTCCAACATGCTTACCAACTTAAGTGAAGAAAAAAACCTCTTAATCGAAGTAAATCATTCTCTTGGTTTTAGAACTTGCTTGACGTACACACGGGCGCATCGAGGTCCGAGTAGAACAGCAGCCGCGTGGAAACCCATTTTCAACATTAAATAAAAATTATTGTTTATGGAGCTAGAGTTCCGGGAGTCGAGACTTTTTTTCAGAAATTTCCTCCTCTTTAAGGATCTTTTTTCTGATTGTCGATATCACTTATAGTTATTGAGTTATTAAAGCAACAAATTTCTAACCGTGTACTTTGTATGAGTCGAGCAAATACTTGTATATACAAATATTTTCGTCACTACACACTTAACTGTAAATCAGTAATATAATGGGAAATCAGCAATTAAAAATTAATCAAAAATGTCTAATTAAATGAACACAAAAAATAAAAATCATGCATAAGGTTATTTTTTTTAATTTAATTCTTTATTAAAAAAATCTCGGTTTAGTTCCAAAAAATCACGTCGCCAACGTTGGCGCTACTTTCCAAACCAAGAGAAAGATTTACT